AGCAAAGACGAATCCATTATACAAAAGTGGCATGTATAAAAAATGGTTTAGGAAATAGATAGTAACTTTGATTGGATTCATGTAGAATAGTGTATGATTTTAGTTCAAATAGGCAGTAACATAATTTTGAAGGCCCGGTTGACCTGAGTGATTTATAACAAAACGTTTTAAAGATAAACTGCATTATTGCATTGCAGTATAAGAAAGACTGATATCTAACTTGAAACTGCATTATTGCATTGCAGTATAAGAAAGACTGATATCTAACTTGAAACTGCATTATTGCATTGCAGTATAAGAAAGACTGATATCTAACTTGCTAATAAAAAAGAATTAATAAAAATATGTTGAATTTAATTATGAGCGAAGAAGTAATTTTCCTGATGTCATTTGGTTTATGACATCATATCTGACGTCATAGGACGTGCAAGATGTCGATTTTAATTCTGTCTTGCGTAAGTAAAATTAATGGTATAATAATGCACTCGACTGACCTCCGTTTAATAGGGAAATGATATGAAGCGACTGTTTGAATCTGAAATTAAAACTGGCTTGCAATGTAAAATTTCATAGCATTTGGCTCCTGTGAAATAATCCCCAACATATTTGATTAAAACTGATCTTACATAAACTTTCTTTATATGCCTATGTTTATGTATATTGACTTACTTTAAAATTCAAACATTGAGTCACAAATACTGTTTATTTGCATGACAATTTCACACAACTTTGTCCGATATTCAAATACATTGGTTTAATAATATATTAGTTGAATAATATTTTGTATTGTCGAATTGCTGTATCCTATATTTTATCAGTAGAGAATATTTTCGTTTTGAAAGGAGACCAGTAATTTAGTTCACCTTTCGAAAATAATTAATTTTGACAACATTTTATGTTAAATAAATAAAAGAGAGTTGGTATTTATGACTTGTATATTTCCATTTTGAGAAGTAAAAATATCTTTTATTAGACTAGTTGCAATATAAAAAGAATAGATTGAACTTTTGAGGGGGCCCAATGTGGTATCAGACTAAAAATAGAACTTTAAAAAAACATGTACTGTACTTTTATTTTCTATTGAACTCTATCTATAAGTGGTCATGTAAAAGGTTTTATGGACTTTTCCACCATCAAAACTGGACAAGTCTATTGCGCAAAATCAGATAGACTTATAAAAATAGTGAATACCCTCTGGAATCCATTTCTGAAAACCTATCAACCAACCAGTTCTTAGCAATGAGTATAAAGATTCTTGGTTAAGGAAATAAAGGTTTGCCTACTGGACCCTGACAGAAATGTTTGCCCCAGACAGAAAGGTCTGCCCCTGACAGCTAAGTTTGCCTCTGACAGAAAGGTTTGCCCCTGACAGATAGGTTTTCTCCTGACAGAATGGTTCTGCCTCTGACAGAAAGGTTTGCCCCTGACAGAAAGGTTTGCCCCTGAAATTTCTAGTCCAACCTTTTACCACTTGGCCATGAGTTTGCACCATGGATACTTTTAGATGTAGCATTCTTTTACATTGTGAATACTAATTTCAGAAACAGTTTTAGACTGTCTTTGAGGCTTCCTCAATTTTGCTGTCCTTGGGGCTTCCTCAATTTTGGGGATAATAAGGTGAAAATGTTAAGTTTGTGAGTCAAGAGTAAAGAATCTTGTAAATATAACTGTAAAAAAGTGATCCCTCCGAAGCATTAAAAACAACAAAATAACATGAAAATTGCAGTCTTGGTTTGATTGAGTCTGTACATGAGGGATAATGAAAAAGTGCAACACCCCTCACGCTCCATAGCACCGGCCTAAGGGGCACTCAATTTTCAATACTTAAAAGTGTTGGACACAACAATCCCAAAGGACCAGAAAAATAGACCAACACTGCATTAAAGTGCAGGCTGAATACTTATGCAAATGTTTATCACATTTAATTCAGAAGCACTTTAAGGGTTAATAACAATCAAACTGTTGTGTTGCTAATGCGTAGATTATTAAAACAAATTCATTAGTACTTTTCATTTCTTGTTTATGAACAAAAAAAATGTCAATATTTTTGTACTTGATGTTATCAGAGGCAGTCAGAAGTAAATGTTACATTATTGTTTGTTATAGTATTACAAAATAATTTTTTGAGTTTAATATAAAAGTTATTTGCAGGTTGCTCGTGTATAATCTATATAAAAACTGTGAAATGGTACATACTATAGGTACTTTTTAATTTACATGTATGATTTAAAGGTCATCAACCAGGGGTAACATCTCTGTTTTTATCAATAAATACGAAATTGAATATGATGTTGAAAGGTCAAGACTATGAGTTCATGTTTTATACCTTTATTTTTTTTTAAAGACATTAAAGCTCACATGAAACTAAAATTCTGGCTTGGCTTATAGTAAAAACTGGATGATATGGTGTCTTAACAGTATGCAGCATCAGCAATGGTATTCTACTAGATTAATAATTCACACTAAAAAGTTGCTTTTTAGCATCAATATTCATTGTCGGCTCTTAAATTCTCCTGCCTGGCTCCTTACCGATAATTGTATTGGCCTCCTTGTAGTGGCTTCATCAGATGAACTTGATAACCTGAATGAAATAGTTTCTATCAAATGACCTTGATGACTCTAAAGAAACCAACTTTGAAGACTGAAAAGAAACCAATTTTCTTCGGTGAACTTGTTGACCATAATCAATTTTTTTTTTTATCAGATGACCTTTCAAATTTCCAATTTGTTAAGTTCAGCCTATTGTTAGAGCACATGCATTCTTTTACTTGGGCGCCATACATTGGCTTTTTCTACAATGGCATGAAACATTAAAGATTCCATGAGAACCGTGGTATGAACACATTGATGGATGTTTCTAAATTCAAATTTTGACTATTTTTAGCTGTTAGAAATTAACTTCTGCTAAAGTGCAAGAGGAAGTGGACAGTTAGCTTGCAATTACCACTACCGTCCATGAACAGGCTCAATTAAACACAGTGAGCCTGCAACATTTTCAGTTTTGCCGTTTTAGGTGTTCTTAAAATGGGGAGTCTGTATATTCTCTTTTTGATAGCATTATTGTGACAAATTTTCTCAGATGACCTTGAAAACCATACTGAAACTATTATGTCTGATGACATGATAAATAAGGACATTTGTATTAAACAATTGTATCAAACAACAATGTTGACCATAATAAAATAAAATTTTAACAGACGGAATGGATGACCTTAATGAAACCATTTTTTATCAAACAACCTTGAGGACGGAAAGGAAACCATTGTAAATACTATGTAAGCTTCTGACATTTTTAAACATAATCATTATCTAAGGATGTCATGAAAGAAATTTGACGCCTTCACTTTTTTTTCTCCTGAGTCTTTGCAAATTATCTACAGTGTGGCTGAGATTATTGTCCTTGTAGTGAAATATAAGATTGACATTTTCATCTTGACTTCTGGCATTTATTTTATCCAAGTAAAACTGTAAGTTCCATGGTTTCTGAATTATTTCATCCACTTGATGACACTGGAATTAATTATTAGTGTGTGTAAAATAAATGTCATTCTGTTATCTTGAATAACTTGTCAGTGGATGTTAACAAATGATTCTTGAACAAACCATAATTAGGGACACTGAACACAGTGTCTTAGATGAAGTAATAGAAAATACATGGTTGATGTTGGGATGGAGAAGGTTTATCTGGTGAGCGAAAAAGCGTATCTTGGTGAGCTTTAGCGATCCAGGGTTTACCTTTTTGTTTGAAATTCCAATTAAAATTTTTCCTCAAATTCTGACAAGAGTTATAATTTTATTTTATTGTAATATTAGATGAGTTTTTCAGTGTCTATTCTAGGATTGGGGAATTTTATTAAAAAGTGAGGTTGATCTTTTTCCTTCTTTCTCCCTGCCTCTGAAAAAATAGGGGGGGATTCTCAAAAATACGAGTGAATCCCCCCTCCTAGGATAAAAGACACTGGTTTTCCCCAATGTACAAAATTTCAAAACTAAGAAAATGAATTGTTGTAGCCCACAAAGGTCAAAATAGACTGTGACAATACTTATTTCCTGGAAAATAATTGAATAAATAAGTGATATAGAAGAACAACAGGAAATAATATATTATTTATTCAGGAAAAGAAAGTGTATTATTTATTCAGGACCAAGGGTCAATATATGTATAAGGTAGATTGAGAAACCATAGATAGTTCCCGATTTGTACAATATTTATCTTCTTTGTCAAAAAATGGCAGCCGTTTTAGGGGGTCAATATTCTATATAATTTGATTGACAAAATATAGAAAATAAAATCAATAAAAAGTTGATTAAGGTGATTATGCATTTACAGGAAAATATTATCATAGCACCAATATGTAAAAGATTTTTATCTTGAAGATAATTGAATAATTAATATGGTGGGAATGACCCTCAAAATGGTGACCAGGGGAGGTAGTTATTGCTATTTGAATATAAAAGGGTAAGTTAGGTTTCACGCTTGTGACACAGTTGATTGGGGTTTTTTTTTTTTGGGGGGGGGGGGGGTTTCCAGGTTATGATAGTGATGTTAAATACATATTGTACATGTATTAATAAATTTAAGAATATTTTAATCTGTTTGATTGAATAATGTATTATTGATATTTCAGGTTGGTAATTATGTCTAATACTGAATCGTGTGTAAAATACCTGTGTACTGATTAAATGTGTCATTGTTTTAGTACATTTATGAAAATTAAAAGCCCATTAAGTCTTGAAAATGCAAATATTTTTATTTTTTATAAGATTAAATCATTAATACTTTGGTGTGACAGTAACGAGTGTTATAGTTTCCAAAAAGAATAACTCATTGGACACATAGATGTGCCATCATTTGCTTCTTATTACAAAGTTACAAAACATATGTTTGCACTTTCTTCAGAAAGAAAAAAAGATTTTCTTTTCCGAGGCTTAATGTGCCTTTAAATGAAATAACTGTAATTACATGTATAATAATTAATTGAAATAAATGTGTTTCTTAGAACATGGACATTATGCGGCACACCGGAGTATTTAGCACCGGAAATTATACAAAGTAAAGGTTATAACAAGGCAGTGGACTGGTGGGCTCTAGGAATTCTTTTATTTGAAATGATTGTTGGGTAAGAAAATGCAACCAGTCTAACACAAAAGCAACAAAATTGTGATAACCAGTCTGCTGGCATGGGTGAAAACTATTGTGGCTTAATTTGAAGTGATATTCTTGTTGTCCATCCCTGCTTTATAGATTTACTGTATATATGTTTATTAATGACCAAGAAGAAAAATGTGATATCATATTTGATTATTTTTAAAATGATGAAAAGGCCTTCTAATTTTTTTACAAGAAGATGTATTTATATGCATTTAAAGTTGCTGTGTGAGTGTCTTTTGATTCTTTCATTTGAGAGAGCTTTCCAGATAGCTTATGGAACGTTGGCCGTTCTACTGTGCATGGTGCCCGTTTGTGCCTGAAATTATGCACAAAGGGGCACCCGAGGTCTTTCCTCTATGATTAAAGCTGGAAAGTCGACATATGATCTATACTGTGTTGGTGCAACATAAAAAAACCAAAAAAATTCTGGCTTACAGACATGCAATAAGCTGGCAGATTTTGGTCACGTACATGTAAATGATTGAGCAATCAAGTATGAAGTCACACTTTCTTCTTACATCTTGGTATGTTTGCTTATTAATTATGTCTCTGGTTTGCTTAATATTGTAGGTACGTGAACTAGCATCAATGGAATTAAGTGGCATCATGTGTGTATTAGATAATCTACACAATATTTGACAGCTTTACATGTGTGTATGGCATAACATTGTCAATAATGTTGCAATAATCTAAGAATAGACATGGAAAAATGCATTCCAATCATTCCTGTCAGAATACTCAATATGCAGTTCATGCAATACTAAATTATTTTTTTCTCTCACAACACATATACATAGATCTTTTTAGACTGTAAGGCATTTTTTTTTTCATCTTAATTCCTGGTACATTTGCAGTCCATTTGCAGTCCATTTGCCTTTAGTCTCTTTCCAGTATTTGCTGGTACTCTCCACAATGAAATGTAATAACAACTTACATAGGTACATACATATAAAAAGTTATGCTAATTTACAACTTAACATGTTGATTTTATGTGAATATGTGTTCAATAGTAAACATGCTCTTGAAGTGAACATATTCTTACGATTAAATAAACATGATTGTGCTTATGAGTAAATAAACATGTGCTCATGAGTACCTCATTAAGTAAACCTGTGTTTGTTAAGTAAAGTGAGCTCATTAAGTAAACATTTGCTCTTAAGTTAACAATTGTTTTCATTAAGTGAACATTTGCCCATTTATTCGTCATTTGCTCATTAAGTGAGCGTGTGCCAATTAAAAAACACAGGCCCATTGTATTATGTAAAAATGAGTTGATATGCCCATTAAGTCAACATGTGCTTATTAAGTATATAAATTATAAAGATGAATTCATGTGCTCATTAAGTAAACATGTACTCAAAACGAGACAAGTAAATTTTTAGCCATAAATAAAATAATTCATAATAATGTGAGCAATTTATATGTGTTAAGAAGTACCTGTATACATACAAATAAATTTTACTAATAGATATACTGTACAATAAACATATGTTCATTATCAGTCGTAAGATCAGTGTTAATGTGTGATCTTTATTAAGTTAAAAATACAATAAATAAATAATCAGTCATCTGAGGTTAATGTTATGTAGTAGCAAAAAAAAAGGGTGAGAAAAGTCTTACTATCTTAGAATTGTTTATAGTTGTTAGGACTTGTTAAATGATGTGTTTTCTGGGGGGAAAACAATACCTGGAGGGGTGCCATCTGTCGACAGTAACTACTGTTGTTTCCATGTAAACTAATCAAAGGGTTTACCTACGCTGTACAACTATAAACATGATTTTTATGTCTGTTAGTTTGGTAAGCACAGACAAAGAAGTCTGTGAACTGACATAATACAGGAGCAAAAAAAGACCAACAATGTGAGAGAAATGAACCCAAAGGAAAAAAAACTGCATCAATGATCTTGTTACTTAGAGGTTAATTGTTAGATATTGAAGAAAACACGGACTACAGCATTGAGAACGAAAAGCATCGTTACTAAATAGAATGCAAGGACGAACCAAAGTTTGACTGTTTTTAGTGTATCATGAGCATAATTAATAAAATAAAATGTGATAAATTACGAACAAAATTATCATCAAATGTATAGAAGAAAAAAAAATTCTTAGAAATCAATGTAGTAAAAATATTATCAAAAATAGCAATGAGGAAATTAAATGAAAGTGAGTATGAAAACCCCCTATAAAACATATATCGTGAGCATGTATTCTGTTTACAAAAAAGTTATAATATCATTAAAATACATGGAAGTGTATAGAAGACAGGTTATTGTCATTTTGCTACCTAAGGAACCCAGCATTAAACCTGAGATTGCACTTGTTGCATTAACCTGCTATTCATGTTAGCCTTGGTCCATTTTGAGCCAAACAAATTTTTCTGATCAATATACGATCAGGAACATTTGTTTGGCTCAAGATGGACCAATTAATTTTTTTGTACTGTTATATTATAACTTTTTTGTATAATAATAAGATAAATATATTTCTCATCTTTTACTTGTAAAAAAAATCAACTTAATTGATGAGTAAAGGTTTGATGGCCAATGAATACAAAAAAATGACAAAAAGTCATCACCAAGGGATAGGCTGTGACTAAGTATTACACATCATATTTCAAGTATAAAGAAAGATTTTCCTGCTTGAATTAAGTTATTCTAGGAGGCAATACAATATCCCCACTGGTGTTGTGTTAACATTCTCAGAAAATTACTAATTACCATGTCTGGAAAGCTACTTCATTGATAACATAGTTCAAGGAATAAATATGCGGCTTTACATTATGAGGCATATTCCATCTATAACATGTTTAAAGGCCCACACAAGGCACAAATTTTTTTTGTACGTAAAACACACGTTTAAAGGCCCATGTGGCCATCAATGTGATAAGGTGACTTAAAGCTAACTTTTTCCTGCTTTAGCTATGTCCAGAACTCTAGGATACCTAGTATAATTCAGGATTTGTGTAACTCATATCTATTCTAGATTTAAGATATTCTAAAAAAGGCTTATCCCTAATTTTAATGTTAATTCAAGAACCTAATATGAACAAAAGATTATTTGTATCACAACAAAATATATATTTTCATGGAGCTTTCTTATTGGTCTATGATATATTTAAATCAACCAATCAGAGATAAGATTAGTTTAGGTCTATATTTAGATGTTCCAATAAGAGATAAGTTTGGTTAAGATCTATATTTAGATGTACCAATAAGAGATAAGATTGGTTTAGGTCTATGTATAGATTAACCAATCAGAGGTAAGGTTGCTTTATGTCTATATTAAGATTAACCAATCATGTGAGACTTTGCTTATGAAAAACTAAAAATCATTTACATAGCCATTGCTAGATTGTAAGTCCATGTGGTAGCCTAGATTATGTGTGTTTGTATTTTACCATTAATTTAGCTTGAAAGTTGAGCTGGAGTGCATTCTGACAAATCATAATAGAGTTGTAGCCAATACAAATAAATAGAGAATTTAGGAGGGAAGCCAGAATATGTGCAAAAAATAAAGTCGAACAATTTGTTCGATTGAGAATTTCTATGAAAGCATGTGAGTCAGTCTTTATTAACATAACTAAAGAAGAGCAAAGAGCATTTTGTTCTTTTGAAATGCTCTTAATTTTACCTCAACCATTCCTGGTATTATCTGAATATTTAATGACACATATGATGTACTGGTAAGTGCAATAATAATGTATGAAATATAGTTATATAAATACCAAAATTGAAATGCACGGGGTAACTTTCAAGCTAAAATAATGCTTATATTGTCGGATCTTCTAGTTGCTACGATTAATAATTAACACATATGCTGAATATATGTAGAATATGCATTACACGTGTGTGCTATTTTTATGTTGTTGGCAGGACTTGGACGCTTTGTGGTACGCCAGAATATCTCGCTCCTGAAATTATACAGAGTAAGGGTCACAGTAAGGCAGTTGATTGGTGGTCCCTAGGAATTCTCATTTTTGAAATGATTGTTGGGTAAGTCTTTCATGTAAGCTGTCACTATATTGAGGTAAGCTTTGCATATACATGTATAATCATGGTTATAGGAAAATATTTATCTTAAAATGTATATTATATATTTAGTGTCTGAAAATGTATATAATCACTTATTGAGATTTTCAATCAATCAGGTGGGTACTTTCTCTGAAGCATATGAATGTAGATTTTAGTGCAAGTGTGTTGTCTGGCAACTAAAAATAAACATGTGTTGTGATCCATATTGTCAAAGATGTAATTTTTTGTGTTTCTATGATGGCCTTTTATTCACTTTTTTTGTACTTTGATCTGAGAAAAATTATTTGAATTTTAAATATATTCACAAAATATTGCTTTTTTTTATATGTATTTTTAAAATTAAGTTGATAAAATTTCTGACATATATATCATCTCATATGCCTGATATAAATGGTAGGTATCTTTTTTTATTATTTTGAGCTACTATGCTTTGCTGTATATAGCAAAATAATCTGTCAAAATTCTTTATAACAAATTTTTATACTGTGAAACTGCTTTCTTTGATTAAGATTAAAGTTAATTGTAAAATTTTATAGCAGCCATGTATATACAGATAATATAAAGGTCATGGTTATCCAATGAAAATCAGTGTTACAAACATGCAGTATTTATTTAGTAATTATTATATTGAAAATATAGACTTTATAAAAGTACATTGGTACTTTAAATAGAAATGTTATAATTGTATAAAAAGAAAAACATATTTTTCTTTTCTTGTTTAGCCATTAATATATTTTAAAGGGCTGAATTTTAATTCAGAGACTCTAGTCTCCTTTTGATTGGAAAAAAATTTAGATTAAGAAGTATTATGACTATATTGCCATTAATTTATGCGAATGACGTTGAGTGTCAATAATTGTTTGTAGTGGTGCAACAATATACTGGTTGGATGTAATATCAGCCGATAAGGCCCGATATAAGGTAGTACTTGGTACAAAGGCCTGGTACCATGATATTTTTTTTTAATAATGGATCAAAATAAATGATCACGTATTTCAACAATATAAATCACTGCTGAAATAATATACATGTACAAAGGCCTTTATGTTTTTAAATTTTTTTTTTCAGTATTTTTTGTTAACATTAACCTTTCAAATATAATTTAATAAAAGTGTTTTTAATAGTTTAGGACTGGTGAGCTTTTAGCTTTTTGAAAATAAACCAGTGCAGACAAAAATCAGCTTGCACATCTGTGTGGACTCGGATCATGCATGGCCTGCAGTCTGTTTGCTATTAAGTCGATCAGTACTCATATTGAAAATATCTCTATAAATGATGAACGTTTTTGTCCAGCTTGAAAAATCGACAAATCCGTTTAATATATTTTAATGGTAATGGTTCAAAACTAATGAAAACATGAAAACTGCAATATCATAATACACATGTACATTTGTATTTCATTTCGGTTTGACCATATTGTTGCACCCCTACAATCATGTAATAAGGAAAACGCCGTAAAAGGGAATCACTAAACGATCAATTGTCAGCTGTATAGATATGTGTACATTTAAAGTGATATGTGTCCTTTAAAGTGTATCAAGTTATATTTGCTGCCTGTGGATTGTAAAATTATTGTTTATATTGTGATTAAAATGATTACAGAATACCTAAAATGATAGCAATTTGTCAGTATATTTCATAAAAGGTACCTGAGCATGTGTGAAATCATCATCAAACTAAAAATAGCTGCGGAATATTTTGTTCCAGAGCATATTATTCTGTTTATTACGTAAATATTATTGTAAATCAAATGGCACATAGTTACATTCTAATTTGTAACTAATGTTTCAAGAAACAACCATTAACAACGTAATTTTACGATTTTTTTTTTTTTAATTTTTATTAAATATTTCATCAAATATAGCTTTTTTATACACTTTAACGGCACTTTTAAACATTTAAGTACAAACACCAATAAATATAATATTATCAAAGTCGGCGTTGTGTTTGGCGCAAATTGTGAAAATAAAACATGAAAATGCTCGAAATTAATGGAATATTTTGGTAAATATCAAGTTATAGGGAAGTTTATCTACAATTACAATGTTTTCTAAGTTTATTGCCAAAAAAACCTCCTAAGAATCTGATAGCACTATGTATTTATATTTTTTCTGTGTTTTGATTACCTGGGATAAGGCACTATAATGTAAATATGTCTGTCTGGAATACGATTAAAAAAAATTAATACAGTGTGTAAAAATAGTTCGTTTTCATTGTTGTTGTGAATTTTATTACTTGGCATGATCTGGTAGATTTTAAGTGCATAATTTGCATTTTTGTCTGTCTGTCTGTCTGTCTGTCTGTCTGTCAAGACTTACTATTTACATTGGCAATTATGCAACTCACATTATTCTATAAGATAATTGCCTTAAGAATTTGTTTTAAGGTAGTCTTATTGTATTGCTTTCCCGCCCAAAAAATATAACATCGGCCAATATCTAGCAAATCGGCTATTTCCTAACATTATTTTTTCAAAATCTTGGGCATTAGATTGTTAACAATCACTCATCCTTTATCTTTAGTACTTAATTCTGGTTACAAACTGTCAAAAATCATTGAATACCAAAGATTGTGAAACATTATGTTCCGGAAATGACCGATTTACCATATTGACAAATGTTAGAAATTTTTTGGTGGGAAAGCATTGCAGTAAGACTACCTTAAATCATAAAACACAAAAGTGTAAGAATTTAAGTTATGTGCTTTGAATTACAGTTTAACCTCCACAGAGGGACCCTCATTAAAGCAATTGCCTCTTTACAACAACAGGCTTTATTCTTCCCAATTAAGTAAACTTGAGAAATAAACCTCTCTAGAAAAGACACCTCTCTGTAACAACCAAAATAATTGTCTCCTAAATGTGGGTCACTATACAAAGGTTGTACTGTATATACACTAAATTTTCAAAATTTTGGAAATTTTATCAAAATTTTGGAAATTTTATCAAAATTTTGGAAATTTTATTAAAATTTTGGAAATCTTATCAAAATTAAGTTATTTATGAATAAATTTAAAAGAAATTTAATTTAACAAGGACATCAGTTCTTATTTTTTAGAAACTTTTTTTTTAGTTATTTGTTGAACATGGGAAGATATTTAATTTTATTGTTTTGTTTCAGGTTTCCACCATTTTTTGATGATCAACCATTTGGCATTTATGAAAAAATTCTATCAGGAAAAATTGACTGGCCAAGACATTTAGACCCAGTAGTAAAGTAAGTATCACAGGGCTATTCTTTGTTTAATTACTTTTAGAAAATGTAATACTATATTTTATAAAAAAAAAATATCAAAAGATTTCCAGCTTCATAGAACTTTTTGGGTACATTCATGAAGTGTGTGTAATGTATTTTTTGTTTGTGGTTATTCTTAATTACCTTAGAAAAAAATGTCCTGCTTCTAGATCATAAAGTTTTATTTAAGAGGTGTATTGTGACATGTGTTGTTAGTTGTGGTAATATACTTTTTTATATTAAGTAGTAAAAAACAATAACAAAAAAATGAAAATGCGATATACTGGTTGGTACTATTTTCCATTGTACCCGATACTGGTAGTTACGTTAATTTTCAAACTGAAGATAACTGAAACTAGATACATCAAATATAAAGATACTTGTACAGATAGACGTATCAATTAAACGATATATTTTGAAAAAAGTAATTTTATGTTAGTCATGGACTAATGTTTTTCAGTTTAAAATTTTGCTAGGTTGTGGTTAGTGTTAAATCTCTCCTCTTGGTTGTTTTTAACATTATGTAGGTGAACACCATGCTGTTTTAATAGATTTTTGTATTTTTTGCTGACTCAGCAGTTTTTTTCTCCTAGAGTGTTTTACCTGTTGTTTTAGTGAGCTGGTACTGTTTTAAAATCAATACAAATTATTTTGTGATAACGTTGCTATATGTTTATGATTTAAACTTTCAAAGTAAGTGAATGAGGGTTTTTTAGACATTAGATAGACCTTTACAGTGGTGAAAATTACCACTTTCACTACATGTTATAACGTCCATGGTATGGTAATAATGCAATTACCACATAAAATTACATTTGTTTTTTCTAAGCCTTAATTATTTATAACATAGATAACTCATTTGTCTAACTGGTGTTACAAATGGCCTGTATAATAATATACATGAACATTGTAAAGCTCTAGTTTTTATTTTTATGGAATTTAATGGACCGTTCAATCATTGGAACTAAAAGTTAAAATTAGGTCAACTGGTGCGATGGTTAAATTTTTTCAGCCAAGAATGATTTGTGAAACTTTTGTTATTATTCTTAATGAAAGAAAGCATGTATCAGTTAGGTAAGATTAAATAATAGGTAAGTTACTGGAACAGGTAGTCGCAGATTTTCTGGCATGTTCGTAAGCAATTATAAATGACAAGTGATCGTAAGAATTTGTACCGGAGGAGGGGAAAAAACAATTGCGTTTTGTAATTAGTTATTTTAATGCCACATAATTGCATAAACGATGACGACATTCGCGTATCACGTTAAAAAACAAAGACGTAGGAGTTCTTCCGATGTTACTCAGCCCTGTAATGAGTATTGTTTCGAAACTTTTGTTTCATCTTCGAAGAACGTTTTGGTGTATGAGGAAGAAAACATGATGTAAACTAAAACCACACCTCAGATCTCGTGTTTTCACCACGTGGGTAATTAAATCAAAGGAAAAAGAATAGAGCTGATTGGAAAAACACATATCCTCTGATTAATTGATAAAACATTTTTTTTGCTTGTGCATGGGGTAGAAGTTAATTGTTTTTCTTATATCGATCAAATTTTTTATGTGCCTAATTATGACTATTTCATGTATATCATCACTATTATGTTAAATTTCAAAGCTATTAGAAATCATTTAGGGCAAATGTTTATTGTAATATCGGTCTCTTAAAGCTGAATACCTCCAGATGAACCAAAATATTTCAAGAAAATCAAACTGGAGAAAATGTTCTAACACTTTAATAAAAAAAAGATTCAAGTAATAATTTATAATTATGTAATGTGCGATAAATGACTCATTTTGCAGTTTTTATCACCATATTTTTACCGTGACTAAGGCAGTAAGCACTATTTTTGCATAATTTGATCCGTTTTTGGTAATTTAAATCGACTGTAAGAGCCCCTTGCAATGTGTAACTTACTTTCTCTGTTTACTTTCTCTTTTTACTTTTTAAAACATTTTCAAAATCTTCATGAAAATTAGCACGAATCTGGAGGCATGCTGCTTAAATACTTTTTTTAATGCATTTATAAAATGATGCACATTGCTGACCAAAAAATGTGTCTTTGGGTCTGTAGATTTGTATTGTAACATTGATGTTGACATCATTATTATGTGCGGAATGCTGGCTTAATCAAAAGAATATGTAATATAAGTAATATAAAAACTTTTGTTTTTAAATACATGACATGTATACATCTTCTTTGAAGAAAGCTGTAGATGGTCTGTAATGTTACAGTCTCAGAATTTTGAACGTAATGACCTATCTTCAGATTTCACATAAAAGTTTGAGTTTTTTTTGCTGGAATCAATAATTCGTAGGTGACATATTTGTGGCAATAAATGGTTTTTGTACCATATTCAAGCTGCTAATGGACTCAAATTTCAAATTCAAATTAACACTTAAAGTGGATTGGTCTACTAAGGGTCAAATTTTCATAAGTATTTTAAATATTAATGAGAAAATAGAAATGTATCATATTCTTCTAAAATATTTCTTGGAAAAACATGTTGATGGAGTTCTTATTTAGTATGAGCATCTATATGATGGAAAATAATATTTTATTCTAGAACAATTAATTATCTACTCCATGTACATTATGTAATATCAGTTGATGTACAAGAACATTCATACATAATTCTTTCCCAGTTTGTTGTCATATAATTAATATATGAAACGTTATTGTTGATGGTATAACATGACCAAGCCACTTTAAACTGCTAAAACCAAAAGATAAAGCCTTTGCCACCAGTATAGACTAGAGCCAGGGAAACTTGCAAATTATTGCAGTTTGACAAGGCCCTACACTGCTGGTGGCTCAATTTTTGAAAATTTGATATTAAAATGGTCTGTCCAAAATTCAATGCAAGGCGGAGCCATTGAAATATGACTATCTGAAAAGCCAAATTGGTAGAGCAATGGACTGGGAATTTGGCAACCTAGTTTGATTCCTGGACAGTGCAGGTCACTTTCGTTGTGATTGATCATGAAATCTTTTCTACAGTCATTTGCATTGCACCTCTGCTCTGGCATGTACAGAAGTTATCAGTTCCTTGTATAAATTTGTATAAACTAAAGACTTTAAAATCCAAACAATTGACTAATTTAAGACATAGATATAGTGTTTAAGATAGGGTACAATCTAGGTTGTCATCTTCTTTATTTATATAACAGCATTGTATTCCTACACTGGGACAAATTTTTTGAAAGGCCAAAAAAAAAATTATTTAGGTTTTTGGTCTCTGTCATAAAGAAAAAGATGTGTAAAAAACTTTTTAAATGTTATTTTTTATATAATTATAAACTTTGAGAGTAAAGACCTTGTAAAAGCTCATAGGCAAATTTTTCAAAAATTTAGGGTTTGCAATTGTACAAAAAAATGGTAGAGAGAGACTGGAAATGAACCTTTTATTATACCCCCACAAACGAAGTTTAGGGGGGGTATATAGGAGTCAGCTTGTCGGTCGGTCGGTCGGTTGGTCGGTCGGTCGGTCCGTCCGTCCGTCGGTCGGTCCACATCATGGTTTCCGGACGATAACTAGAGTTTGGAATGAGGTATTGTAATCAAACTTGGTATATAGCAACCTTATGTGAAAACTCCGGTTGGTATTGCATTTGGACCCCCTGGGGTCAAGGTCAAGGTCACCGTTACTAAAAATAGAAAAATGGTTTCCGGACAATAACTACAGTTAGGAATGAGATATTGTTATCAAACTTGGTGTATAGCAAGCTTATATGAAGACCTGGGTTGGTATTGCATTTGGACCCCCTGGGGTCAAGGTCAAGGTCACCGTTACTAAAAATAGAAAAATGGTTTCCGGACAATAACTACAGTTAGGAATGAGATATTGTTATCAAACTTGGTGTATAGCAAGCTTATATGAAGACCTGGGTTGGTATTGCATTTGGACCCCCTGGGGTCAAGGTCAAGGTCACCGTTACTAAAAATAGAAAAATGGTTTCCGGACAATAACTACAGTTAGGAATGAGATATTGTTATCAAACTTGGTGTATAGCAAGCTTATATGAAGACCTGGGTTGGTATTGCATTTGGACCCCCTGGGGTCAAGGTCAAGGTCACCGTTACTAAAAATAGAAAAATGGTTTCCGGACAATAACTAGAGTTAGGAATGAGATATTGTTATCAAACTTGGCGTATAGAAAGCTTATATGAAGACCTGGGTTGGTTTTGCATTTGGACCCCCTGGGGTCAAGGTCAAAGTCACCGTTACTAAAAATAGAAAAATGGTTTCCGGACAATAACTAGAGTTAGGAATGAGATATTGTTATCAAACTTGTTGTATAGCAAGCTAACATTAAGACCTGGCTTGGTATTGCATTTGGACCCCCTGGGGTAAAGGGCAAGGTCACCGTTACTAAAAATAGAAAAATGGTTTCCGGACAATAACTAGAGTTAGGAATGAGATATTGTTATCAAACTTGGTGTATAGCAAGCTTATATGAAGACCTGGCTTGGTATTGCATTTGGACCCCCTGGGGTCAAGGTCAAGGTCACCGTTATTTAATGGTTTTCGGACAATAACTAAAGTTAGGAATGAGATATTGTTATCAAACTTGGTGTATAGCAAGCTTATATAATGACCTGGGTTGGTATTGCATTTGGACCCCCTGGGGTCAAGGTCAAGGTCACTGTTACTAAAAATAGAAAAATCTCCAGACAATAACTAGAGTTAGGAATGAGATATTGTTATCAAACTTGGGGTATAGCAAGCTGATATGAAGACCTGGGTTGGTATTGCATTTGGGCCCACTGGAGTCAAGGTCACTGTTACTAAAAATAGAAAAATGGTTTTCTGACAATAACTTGAGTTAGGAATGAGATATTGTAATCAAATTTGGTGTATAGCAAGCTTATATGAAGACATTGGTTGGTATTGCATTTGGACCCCCTAGGTTCAAGGTCACTGTTACAGTGTTACTAAAAATAGAAAAATGGTTTCCGGATAATTACTAGAGTTAGAAATGAGATATTGTATTCAAACTTTGTGAAAAGCAAGCTTATTTAGAGACCCCAGTAGGGATTACAATTAATTGAAATATTTCTTTGTACACAGTTGATAGTTTGTGTTCAAATTTTTCTTCAGACTACTTATTTTTCAAAAAGTCAAAGTTGCAGGTGGGGGTATTAATCACCTTCAGTGATAGGTCTAGTTTTTAGCTCGACTATTCGAAGAATATGAGAGCTATTGTAGTCGCCCCGGCGTCGGCGTCGGCGTCGGCATCAGCGTCCGCGTCGGCGTCTGCGTTGGTTAAAGTTTTTTGTAAAGTCGAATATCTCAATCATTACTTGAGATATTCAATTGAAACTTACAATACTTATTTATAGTAACAAGGTACATCAGACTGACAAGTTGGATAACTCTGCCTACAATATTGACAGAATTATGCCCCTTTTTAACTTAGAAATTTTGGTTAAAGTTTTTTGTAAAGTCAAATATCTCAATAATTACTTGAGATATTCAATTGAAACTTACAATACTTATTAAGTTATTTATAGTAACAAGGTACATCAGATTGACAAGTTAGATAACTCTGCCTACAATATTGACAGAATAATGCCCCTTTTTAACTTAGAAATTTTGGTTAAAGTTTTTTGTAAAGTCAAATATCTCAATTATTGCTTGAGATATTCAATTGAAACTTACAATACTTATTTATAGTAACAAGGTACATCAGATTGACAAGTTGGATAACTATGCCTACAATATTGACAGAATTATGCCCCTTTGGAACTTAGAAATTTTTGTTAAAGTTTTTTTGTAAAGTCAAATATCTCAATTATTGCTTGAGATATTCAATTGAAATTTGAAATACTTTTTTATAGTAACAATGTACATCAGTTTGCAAAATTGCATAACTCTGCCTGCAAAATTTGAAGAATTATTTGCCCCTTTGAAACTTAGAAATTTTGGTTAAAGGTTAAAGGTCTTCAAAGATATTTACTTGAAACTTTACACATGCACTCATAATTGGAGGGTCATAATTGTATGTCACTGACCAAGTTCCATAACTCTATCTTGCATTAAGGCTGATTCTACTTAGTCTCTTGGTTAATGTTAACATGCAAGTTTTACATATCTCAATAACTATTAAAGATATTTATTTAAAACTTCACATATGCATTTAGGGTCATAATTGTAGGTCACTGACAAAGATCCATAATTCTATCTTGCATTTAGGCTGATTTTTCTCCCCTTTTTCAACTTAGAAATTCATGGTAAAGTTTTGCTTGTAAGCTGTTATCTCAATTACTACTGAAGGGTTTGTGCCTTTTTTTGGGACAATTTTATGCATTCATAATAATAAAGCAGTGATTTACTTGATAAAACATCTTAATTAGAAGCCTTTGTACCTTTTCTGTCAAATTTATGTATTCATAGGTAATTAGTATTATTATACTCAATAAAACAACCTTGTGACATTACCTTCCGAATAGTCAAGCCAATGCTGTATAATTAGACTCTCTCTAAGGCCTATAACATGAATTTATTAAAAAAAATTAGACCTTTTGTGATCTTAAAAAATTTAACATTATCAAGTCTCTTTTACTATCAAGCTCTTAGAATAGTCGAGCGTGCTGTCCTACCGACAGCTCTTGTTTTTGCCTAAAGTACATGTGATATAATATTTTTTTTTTTTGGTAAGTAGTTTAAAATTTAATGCAATATTATATTGGTTTGAATCATGTCACATAATATGGCTGTAATAATTGATGTAATCTTTATAAAGTCCATGTATTTTTGTAACATTATATTTTATAATATTTAATCTTAATGTAATATAATTATAGAAGTTTATTTTAGAAACTGTATTGAAAATTATTTATTTTGTTTTTCATTAAGGTACATTTTACAAATAAAAATACATTTTACCATTTTTTTTATTGTCTTGGAAAAGGGAAGAAGGAAGTTTTTGTATTAAATAGGTTACCTATTTTCTTATGGTTGAGTGCACACCTACCTTCCTTGAACATTTACCTTTTTTAACTTTATGCGACTGTATCGAGTGTTGTAAGTTAGTTTGTAAGCTCATATCTCAGACAAGGCAGGATTTTTTCTGATGCCTTTGTAAATTTCTGTTACAAACTAAAAAATGTTCATGTAAGAGTAGATATGATTATATTATGAATGCAGTGAGGGTATTTTTAATTAAAAAACAAACAAAAAACAACAATTATTTGAACGCCCTTCATGAAAAAAAATTAGCACCAATAATAAAACCAGGGATCAGGGTTGCAGAATTTGAAGCTACTTTTCCCTCTCTAGTTCTGACTTTATATACGTTTTTTTCTAAGACTTCCGAACATGTAATTTATCATCATATTTCTCTACATTTAGAATAACATATGAGCCGTGTCACGACAAAAGCAACATAGTGCGTTTGCAACCAGCATGGATCAAGACCAGCCTGCGCATCCATGCAGTCTGATCAGGATCCATGCTGTTTGCTATCAGTTTCTCTACTTGTAATAGATTTGGTAAGCGAACAGCATGGATCCTGATCAGACTGCGCGGATGCGCAGGCTGGTCTGGATCCATGCTGGTCGCAAACCCATTACCCCGTGGCGCGGCTTATATCGTGTTTCCAAAATTCTGTATTTATTTTAAAAGGCTCATATTATGAGACTGAAGGGCCAAATATATTGAAGCTTTATCTAAATCATAAGGGGACTTAATTTCCAGCATTATTCCGATGGTGCAGGGAGATCTGGGTAACCCTTCCATGCAGGAACAAAATGGCAACCTGGCCCAGCCACCAATCTAACTAACTGCCTATTAGCAATGTAAACTTGCTGAAAGGCTAAAGTTGGCTAGAACTACATATTGTAAAAGTTAACCACCGAGCTAGCATATTTATACAAAACGCATTTATTCATTATCACAATAGAAGAGATGTATTTAACAGCCAACTTAACAGCCTTGGAAGATATTTTGATAAAATCATCGGTATTTTTTATGTGCATGTTTTAGTACTATCTCTGGAGGAAAGCCAGCAATGAAAGAGCTATCTATTGCTTGATGTTATTGCATAATGTATATATAAAATAAGATTATTTCACCCTTTGATTTTATTTCAGAGATCTCATAAAGAAATTGCTGGTTCCCGACAGAACTAAACGGCTGGGAAACATGAAGGTAGGTCATAGGTTAAAGTTGAAGGTCATTAAGTCAAAGTAGAAAGTCATTTGAGCTATTTATAGACCTAGGAAAACTTAATTTTTTTTGGGCAAGATAGTCCAATTTAGTAGATACACAGATTAAATAAGAAATATGAAAATGTTCTTTTATTTTTGTTTTTCTTTGCTTAAAGTTGCATGCCTTGTTGCAACCACTATTGAAATAAAACCACTATTGAAATAAATTATTTCAATAGTGGTTGGGAATGCATTTCATTAGAAAAATCACTTTGCAACCACTATTGAAATAAAACCACTATTGAAATAAATTATTTCAATAGTGGTTTTATTTCAATAGTGGTTGGGGATTATTTCATTTGAAGAATCACTTTGCAACCACTATTGAAATAAATTATTTCAATAGTGGTTTTATTTCAATAGTGGTTGGGGATTATTTCATTTGAAGAATCACTTTGCAACCACTATTGAAATACAACTACTATCGAAGTAATTATATCAATAGTAGTTGGGGATGCATTTCATTTTAAGAGTCACTTTACAGACACTTTTAAAGACTAATGTTTCATTATTTTTTTTTTTATTGTAGACGAGAATGAACTTTTTAGAAATATTACTTTGTTATTACTATTGTAACGCAAGAAACACTTTATCTAACGAACAATATCAGATATAAAAAGTGGGTATTATACTTGCATATTTTACGGTATTAATAATCAAGACTAAAAGGAAATATGGTATAATGTTACAATTTTCACGGGTGTGCAAAAATATATAACCAATTCACGCAAATTAAAATGCAAATAAAAGGTATTAAAGACTTATATTTTACAGTAATTATAACCGAGACTATGAATTTAACGTACCTCTTTTCGGATTTTTTACTGTTGTGCAGAAATAAAAAAAATCTCGTAGAATGATGTATAGAATTGTTTTCATATTCTTTTCTTTACCTTTTTCTTTCTATTGATATATAATGTGAAAATCGTAAATTATTTGTACAAGAATTAACACATTGGAAATTACCGGAACTTCAACTCAAACCCCCTGTATATTAAAATAAATCAATTAAGGATACATGTAATTATAAACATCACTATTAAGATAAATTATTTCAATAGTGGTTAGTGATGAATTTTATTACGACCTCTATTGAAATAAATTATTTCAATAGTGGTTAGTGATGAATTTTATTACGACCACTATTGAAATAAATTATTTCAATAGTGGTTGATGATGAAGTTTATTACGACCACTATTGAAATAAATTACTTCAATAGTGGTGGGTTATGAAGCTTATTATGAGAAATAATTTGCAACCACTATTGAAATAATTTATTTCAATAGTGGTTTTATTTCAATAGTGGTTGCAACAATGCCTCCATATGAGTCAATATACTTCAAGAAAATCAAACTTAAGATTTCTGCATGGTAATTATAAAGACTTGTTAAACTGATCTAAAATGTCAGCACAGTAAACTGTGAAGAAAAAAAAAAACATTTTAAAGTTTTAGGGACTTTTCTAAACCTATGTGCCCTTAATGTCAGATTATAAAACTTGACAAAAGTACAAGTTACCATACCAGAGCTTTTCTGTGACCACATCTGAACTATTTGTCCTGTTTGTTTTTAAAGTTAACTCAATAAATAACAAGGCAAAGTAATCTCCTCTTTAACTGAAATGAACTTTAAAAAAATAGATTAAAAGCTTAAGAATGTTGTTTGTTTGTTTTTTTGCACTGCCAGGGATTTGATAGAATTCAATTTCATAAGCAAATTAGAATTAAAACTCTGAACAATAAAACAGGGTGGTGTCCGTGGTCGAGTGGTTAAAGATCATTGATTTCAAATCACTTGGCACTCGCTGCTGTGGGTTTGAATCCAGAGACAGGGACTTTGGAATCTTTTATGTGAGGAAGCTATCCAGCTAGCTTACAGAATGTCAATGGTTCTATTCAGGTGCCAATTTGTGCCAAAATAATGCACAGAAGAGCACCTGAGGTCTTCCTCCACCAATAAAGCTGGAAAGTCGCCATATGACCAATACTGTGTTGGTGCGACATAAAACCCAACAAACAAACAAAAAAGTCATCAATCAAAAAAAAAGAAAAGAAAAGTTTTTAGCCTGCAGAAAAGAGGCAGGCCAGAGTGCAGTCTAAATTCTATTGGTAGCCCAATTTTTGTAAAAACTTGATAATGACATCCCGTTAACTTAAAAAAGACTGTTCCAAATTAAAAGAAGGGCAAATACATTACAAAAATTCAGCAAGTTCAGGGTTACCACACTTGAAATGTATCACAGACATTGAGTCTAATGGTCATTTGTCTCTCACAGCTGGTTCAGAAATCATGCCGGGATAAGTAGTGGGTCACTTTTGGGAGAAATTGTTAATTACTGGTTAGTTATCCAGATAAACCATTAAGGTGGGTTGGTGAGTTATCCAGATAAACTGGTAAGATGAACTGACCACTGTGATAAGATTATGACCAAAAATGTGTAAAAATAATTTGATCTAAAAACTAGACAAAAAAACTCGAAACAATTTCTATTTTCAGAATGGTGCTGAAGATGTGAAGAAACATAAATGGTTCAAGTCAATAGAGTGGGAAGACGTCCTGGCACGAAAACTTACTGTAAGACATTTTGTTTTGAAAATTTTTGAATAATTTATGAGGCCTTTGTCTCACTGTAGGAGATAAGCGTCTAAAACTGTTTTTTTTTTATTTTTCACTGGGCAATTGAAAATGTGCTGAAAATTAACAGTAACACAGTTTAGATTTTCGATAACAGAGTGGTATACTGCACCAGTCCATTGGAACAGTGTGGGAGTTTTAAAGTTTTGGGGGAGGAGGGGGGGGTGGGGTTTGGGGGAAGGTGTGAGGCTATGTCCAAACTTTTAAAGCAGGGCATTAAGTGGGGGGTTTTACCATGTTACTTATAATACTTGAAGCGTTTATCATTTACTAAGGCTTGATCTAAAGTTTAAGCACCAGCTTTGCCCTTGCAGTTAAAGAACTGGGTTACAATGGACTTTTGCATTATCAATGTTCTTAAACAAGACAATAGCACAGTATATATTATGTATAACAGAAACTATGGTTTCCACGGTAATATTTGGTATTATTTGTGTAGAGAGTTTTAGTATTTATCCAAGCTTAAGCTTTTATTAACTTTGCCTTTTTAATAAGTATAAGATATTGACCCCAAGCGAGAAAAAGCATTGTGTTTCTCTTGATTCTGGTACCAAAGGTCAAGGTCATACATGAAGGATAAATATATTCTTTTGCTTTTCCATTGACATAAATTATTTTATATTCAACTTACACAAATATTTACTGCAGGAAATACGAACACTACATTCTATCTTAGTATCTTTTATTAAACATTTCAATAAAGCTCAGTGACCTTCAGAGGTCAAGGTCATGGTCTTAAAAGATCATACCTGATAGTTATTTACAATTTCTTTTATACAGTCTACTGTCAGTTTTTTACAATTTCTTTTATACAGTCTACTGTCAGGAAAAGCACTGTATTGAAATTCAGACCTTCTTTTTCCGACAATAAAAAAGCAGGATGATTCTATAATAAGACTTTCATGAAAGCAGCATGCCTCCAGAGTCACTGTAATTTTTTGTAAAATTTTAGAAAATATGCTGAAAAAGTAACACATTGTTATGTATAAAAATACAAGGCATTTAGCATGTCAAAGACTTCTCCTCATATAAATCAAATGATATTTCAGAATATGCAAAAATAGCCATTACATTGTTAGTAACAATGGCTGAAAAAAAGTAAATTTACTCAAATTTTTAACTTAAACCATTAAAAGTATCACATGCATTGATACAGGGCTTATTTGACAGGAAGTCGTAACTTGATGTAAATTGAATTTAAGGTAAGATACCTGTAATGGGTATATTTAGGAACCTGATCAAGCTTAATATTTTAATAAACCCGATTCCATTACATGGATCTTACCTTAAGGGGTAAACTTCAT